TGGGGAATTCTGGGAGTTGAAGTCCACCCGTCTTAACGTTGCCAAGGTTGAGGAACCCTGCCTTAACGGGTTTCCATGTCCTGTAACACTAGCCCAGGTCTTCCAGCACATCCTTTTCCTCCACAGGCCAAAGGCATTTCCGGACCCACGGGCACTGGGCAGAAAAGCGTGACAGTAGGCTGCTATGCAGGCAAAGTGCTGAAAAGACTGCGCCCGTTCAGAATTTTAGCGCCGCAATTTCGGTGGACGTGTGGCAGAAACAGACGCGTATGCCATCTGCTTGCCAGAATCGGGGACAAGGTATAAGAAGCCCCTGGACTGGTGCATCACAACAGAGGGGCTCTTCCTGTTCAATCTTCCGCCTCCTCAGGGTTCAACACGGGGTCTTTAGCCTGCCCAGCAATTCAGCTGAAACTATTTTGCGAGGTAAGGATGGGGCTGAGAGACAGGGATGGTCTCGAAACCCTCCAGGGAGTGGAGACGGGACCCCGGGCCCCTCTGGTTCTTCTCCAGCATGGCAGCAGTTCGACTGCACCATTCTTAAGGCGCTGACCCCTTTTCCTTTCTCTAATGTTCCTTTCAACTCATCCCGGCCAGCTCTCCCTAAACGTCTGCTGGACATTTGCTCTCCTCTGGGCTAATCGTCCTACAGCCCTCTGACTCCCCAGGCGTCTCGCGACGCCTCTTCCTCTTCCCCAGGACCAGAAGATCTGAGAAGCGAACGTGCCGGTTGAGCCTCCCTAGGAACTCCGAGAGCCATTTGGTTTGGGGAACCATCTGTTAGTACTTATCAGCACAGGAAAGAGAGAGAGAAAGAGGGGAAGAAAGGAAGAAAAGAAGGAAGGGAAGCCCAGCTGAGTTTGCCTCGTAATTAAAGAAGCTGCAGAGGGTGGGCAAGAAAAGAGCTCCCGGGTAAGTGGGCAAGCCATCTGTCTGCCTTGCAGAACCCTCCCCAAAACATCGATTTGTTTGGCTTTCCTGCAACTGGAAGACAGGCCAGGGTGAGGACACGATCCGTGGTTATTCCTAGGTCGACATCCGAACCCCAACGCCTCCCTTTCCCTCCTACAGTCTTGCATGCCCAGAACGGACTCCCACCTCTCTTCCTTGCAAACCACCTTTTCCCACCTGCAAGGATGGGGAACCCCTGGCCCTCGGCTCACCCCCTCCATCTCTCTCTGCACGCAGAAAGGGCTGGGTTGAGGGGGCCTTGCTCAGGGATACCCTCTGCTTCCCAGGGCATTTCCTGGGGGGGCAATCTGGCCTTAAGGGCGTCAGGGGTCCCGCCCTGCTGCCTAAATCAGACTGATGAGTTTGACTCCCAGTGACCACACAGACAGATCTTCTCCAGGATGATCCGTCCCTGAATCAGAACCACAGAAGAAACACCCTTCCTTTCTCTTTCCCTCTTCTTTGCTTGCCTCTCCCTGTCAGATTTCAAGTTGTTTCGCCCTGTCCCTTCCCAGGCTGCCTGTGCCTTGTCACAACTGCATGAAGAATAACAGCAGAGAAGCCACAAAAGCTGAAACTCACATCTTGGAGCGCTGGAAAAAACCACACTCCCCCAAAAAAGGTTCTGGCATTTCTGACCTTTGAGGCACAATGTTGTTTCAAGGCCTCCTTGTAAAGCAATGTAAGAAATGAGGTCGTCTGCTGCCCTCTCCTCCGGCTGAAACACCACTGGAGTGAAAGCCGTGCCATGAATGAAACGGCTGGGCACCAACATTTCCCGACAAAAAGAGGAGGATTAACCCATTTTGTGCCCCCTTGCCCCTTGGTTTCCAATCCTCACAGCAACCCACCGGGTTCTGAATATACATTCGCCGGAAGAAGATGGAGCTTGGATCCCAGCAGCACGTGAACCACAGTATCCTAGAACAGTGTTTCTCAACCTTGGTCACTTTAAGACGGGTGGACTTTAACTCCCAGAATTCCCCCCCCGCCTCGCCCACCTGGGCGGTGCGGCGGGGGGGTGGGGGCTCTGCCCCCCCCCCATGTTGCAAAGAGAAAAGAACAGCAGCAGCACAGAACGA